TTTAGTTTTTTGCGATTTGTGGGCGTTAGAGTGGGCGTGGCAGGATGCTGTAATAAACTTGCGCTGTCCCGGGACCTCAAGAATCTTCATACTTAATCTCAGCTTTGTATCTGCTATAGTTCCTGAGATCTCAGCGTTCATACGGACGGACGGACGGACGGACGGACGGACGGACGGACGGACGGACGGACGGACGGACGGACGGACAGACGGACATGGCTCAATCGACTTCGCTATTGATCCTGATCAAGAATATATATACTTTATAGGGTCGCAAAAGCTTCCTTCTATCTGTTACATACTTTTCAACGAATCTAGTATACCCTTTTACTCTACGAGTAACGGGTATAAAAATAAGAACGTCGTCAAGATAGACCACAAAAATTCTATTTATTTCTTCTTTTAAGACTGTGTTTATAAGGCGTTGAAATGTGGCAGGAGCGTTTTTGAGCCCGAATGGTATCCGATTAAACTCGTAATGCCCGTGAGGAGTAGAAAACGCTGTATTTCCCCTATCTTGTTCCTGAACAATAATTTAATGAAAGCCTTTCGCGAGATCTATAGTAGGCAAATATTGCGCTCTTACTAACTTATCCAATATACCTTCTACATTTGGGATAGGAAACTTATCATTTACAGTGTTTTCATTCAATTTGCGATAATCAATAACTATACGCCACTTTTTTGTTCCACTGGTAATGCCTTTTTTTGGTACAAGCCATAGAGGGGCATTATACGTATTATACGTACGTATTATTCCCTGATGTAGCATTTCTTCAATTCGCTTATAAATTTCCTGTTCATGTACTTGAGGATATCTATAAATCTTATAATATAAAGGTTTATCCACTACTTTTTTATCTGATGCTCGAAATGTTTATATTGCTAGGACAATGACCTTCAAGAAATATTAATGTTTTAAATTAAAAATTTAAAATTTTAGTAAGAGCATTATTTTTCTCTTTATTTAAATCATTGAAAAGAATTTTTTGTATTTTATCATCTATGTCGATTGGTTCAATTTGATTTACCTCATCAGAGTATGGTGAACTATTTTGAAATTGGATAATATTATTATAATTGTAATTGTATTGTGATATAAATCAATAACAGCATTTAATGGCTTGAGAATATTTTGACCTATTATAGCATCGAACGATTTGTTATTAAATGTTGCCAATTTCCAACTCATTGTGGCATCTTTAAATTCAAGAGGTAAATCAGTTATAATTTCTTGCGTTATTAGCGATTTTGAACTTAGAGATGAAAATGATATTGGATGACGCAAAGTTCTTCGAGGATGTTGTAACAATTTATTTCTATCTAACATGGATGTTGTTGAACTAGTATCAATCAAGGCTGTGATTATTTCATTGTTTATAGTTAAGTTAATTAAGGGAAGTGATTTTTCGAGGCAACTATTTGAAAATTTGCATGGCAAGAACAGTTCATTGGCTCTGACATTGATTCAGAAGTGAAACTTTGATCTGGATTATCATATTTATATTGGATACAATTAGTTTTATCTACCTCGACATGATCGATTTCCATTTTTGAAATATGGCTTTGTTGATTTGTACAGCTCTGATTTGAATTTAAATTTTGTGTTCCTGATCGAAATATCCCTGAATAAACATTTTGGAAATTGTTGTTGTGGTTTGCAGTCCTATCTTGATTATTATAATTTAGTTTTTAATATCGGTCTCTTTGATTATTTGTATTGGGATAGTTTTGATTTTCCGTTTTGTTCAATATTTCTTTACTTTGAGGAAATTTTGTTTTAACATTTTGAGTTCTAACAAGGTTTCGGTTTCCAATAAATCAAAAGCTAAATCAGAAGCTAAATTTACATCAATATTTTTCAAGAATGTTCTTAGCATAGCTTCTTCAACATTTTTGGGACTGAACTCAGAATGCTTTACGTTATCATATTCATATTTTTCATTAATTTTACACACTAAAGACTTAAAATATTCTGTAATGTTGATGTTGTTACTTAGCATAAACGCTTCTTGGTAAAGTTGATTATAGGACTCCTTTACGCCAAAATTCCGAATAAGAATCCTCTTGATGTCATCCCACGACTGCTCGGAATTCTCGATGGTTCTCATAACATGAAGAGCTTCGCCTTTGATTTTGTTGAGTATGACACGGCGAAACACGTAGGCTCCTGCAGTAGATGTGGGAGGTAATAATGAAAATATCATCTCCACTTCACGAATGAATGATGATAGAGCTCTTGAATGGTCTCCTCTGTACTAGTGAATATGGTGGGCATCCTTAAGAATATCCCCAAACGATAAAGTAAAAAAAAATAAAACTGCATTTAAGTGGGTATTTTAATGTCGACTGGGCCAGTTTTTTTAACATAGTTCTGTTAATATTTAATACAATATAATTATTGTTTTTTTATTTTTGTAACTTCAGTTTATTTTCTTCACGTTGTGTTATTGTTCGCGTCTGCTCAACAAGTCAGCTTGAAAGCTTTTTGTGTCTTCATTGTAGCCGAGAGAGCTTGTGATCTCTCTCTCTCTTGTTAAATGTAAAGGAAGAGAATGAAAGCTTGGACAACATAACCCGCACGTATCACGGACAGTCTGTTATGTTTCCTAGTAATTCTTTTGTAATTTGATTTGGCTGCGATTCCCCAAATTTGAATCCCATAAAGCCAGATTGACAGGATGCAATGCGCATATACTGCCCGTTTGCATCTGAGAGGCAACTTGCTTCTTTTATTCACAAGCCACCGAACTTGCTTTATCCTTATACTGCACATTTTAACGGTGTTCTTGAGATTTGGGCCAATGTGAGGCGTTTGTCTAGGGAAATACCAAGGTATTTCGATTGTGACGGCTGATCCAGAGTAACTCCCTTTAACTGGATTAGAGGGGTATTGATTATTAGTGTTTTTGGTGTAAAAGAGGTGTTCGTTGTTTTTGACGGATTATTCTTTGGGTTCCACCGTTTGCACCAAGCTGCAATGGTGGCAAGGTAATTCTGTAGACCGTTGGCTGCTTTTTTGTGGCATCTTGAGTTGTAGATGACTGCAATGTCATCTACAATGTCGCAATAAGTGTTTTTGACATATGTTGTCTGTTAGGGCTTGGTATATCAGAAGTATACAACGAATATAGCAACGGTCCAAGTACACTGCCCTGAGGAACTCCTGCTCTCATTGGATAGTTGTTTGGTAATATTATGACGCCGGGGCGCATAAAAGTTGAAAAAAGGAATAATATTAGGAAGTAAGAATAGCCGTAAACACAATCATGGAGTATATAGGATAGTTCGTTTTTTTTTAGTTATAAGTAGAAAAAGCACTGAAGTATTCGTTTGGTAAGTTGATTTGTTAAGAAGAAATAAATAAGATTAGTAAACAACGATCGGTCACACTACCGGGCCGAACGGGCACACCACATAAAGGGAATTTCGGGAACGGGCACACTGACGGCAGCCACGGGGTATATAAGGAGGACCGGTTTCTGGGAAGAGTCACTTTTGCGGTGAATCTCACCCAGGTTAGATCAGCCCTCTCCCGAAGTTGGGCACACTCACCAGCACTAGTCACTTTTTGGTCGGATTTAGCCTAAGGCTAAGTCTAATAAATTCGACCTCGGACAGGGGCTTTGCATCTCTTACGCGTCGGACCCCAAGGGCCTCGCGTCATCTCTCGCAAGAGACCCACAGGGGCTTTGCATCTCTTACGCGTCGGACCCCAAGGGCCTCGCGTCATCTCTCGCAAGAGACCCACAGGGGCTTTGCATCTCTTACGCGTCGGACCCCAAGGGCCTCGCATCATCATCTCACCAGAGACCCACTGGGTTTCTATTCACTCTTTCTCATACCGAACCCCAGGTTTCTCTTCTTGTCTTTTCTGTTCTTTCTTTTACATTCACACTCGCTCGCGTGACTGGCCCCGGGCCAACGCACGCTCCATCATTTCTATTTTTCTCTCCCTTTCTTAGCAAGCGGATCACCAAGACGGACTGGCCCTGCCCTCACGCGGCATCCCCACGGCCCACAACGGAGCATCGGACCCGCGGCTACCCCTCGTCGGAAGCTCTCTTCCCCAGGCCCGCAGACCACCCACGGCCACGACCAACCGATCCCCTGTGAATTAACTCTGTAACCATAGATATGAAATAAATAACTAAGATCTGTTCTATTCTTAACTAAACAAGCTGCGTCTTACTCTGGGTGGAATCTTCTTTGCAGCAACCACGCCTGACATCAAAACAAATGTTGGAACGAACTGCTGGTATCTGGTGAACTGTCCCAGCCACCCCAAAGCAGGACCGTTACAATATATCTCTTAATTTGACCTTAGACTCTCGATCTTCCAGATAAGATCTTTAAAGTCCATAGTACGGAGCAGGTATGCAATAAGCCAGCATGCCGCACCTTATCGAAAGATTGCTGCTGTCAATAAAGACTGCGTTAGAATACTCCTGGTCGAAAGCCTGCAAGATATGTTGAACCAATCTGTGGACCTGTTCTACTGTGCTGTGACGAAATCCAAATGGATGATCTGGCAAGACATTGTTTTGAGACACAAACTCGGTAATTCAATTTGCAATGAGTATCTCCCACAGTTTGGACAGGGACGGTAAAAGACTTATTGGGCGGTGTGACTCAGGTTCAACCGCTGGCTTACCGGGCTTATGAATCATCAGTATCGCAGCAAGTTTCCATTGTTTTGGGAATACTTTGATCCTAATAATAGCATTGAAAATTAATGTATACATAGAATCTCTCTTTTTGGATAAGCCTTCAACGTTACAAATCCTATCTATACCAAGAACTTTGTTTTTCGGCAAACATTGGATGTTTTCAGAAATTTCTTCAACCCTTATTGGTTTAATAGACAAAGAAATCTGCAATGGAGTCTCCAAACTCTAATGAGTCTCTCTAATTTTTTCTATCAAGGCAAAGTCAAAGGAAGTGAAACGATCATTCATTTCGCTCTTTCTTTTTGCTGTTCGAGTGAGCGCGAGGCACGTTGTTTCGCAGTGTTCCCGGTCCGGTGCAATTGTAGTTGCATATACGCCAACGATTTAGACGCCTTTCGACTCCCCAAAATCCAATAAACATGAAGATCTACAAGGACATCATCACCGGTGACGAGATGTTCGCCGACACCTACAAGATGAAGCTAGTGGACGACGTAATCTACGAAGTGTACGGAAAGCTGATCACCCGCCAGGGTGACGATATCGTTCTTGTCGGCGCTAACGCCTCAGCTGAGGAAGCCGACGAGGGCACCGAAGTCACAACGGAGTCTGGCGTTGATGTTGTGCTAAACCACCGACTTCAGGAGTGCTTTGCTTTCGCCGACAAGAAGTCCTACACCCTCTATCTAAAAGATTATATGAAGAAGGTGTTGGCCAAGTTGGGGGAGAAGTCGCCTGACCAGGTAGATGTCTTTAAGATCAACATGAACAAGGCCATGAAGGACATCCTCGGTCGTTTTAAGGAACTGCAGTTCTTCACCGACGAATCCATGGGCTGTGACGGCATGGTGGCCCTAGTGGAATACCGCGAAATTAATGGGGAAAGCGTTCCCGTGCTCGTGTTCTTCAAGCACGGTCTGGAGGAGGAAAAATGCTAGATGTGTCATCATCCCGAACCCCTCCCTAACGTATCCTATACTCATGCATACCTTCTACATATTTATCAGATTCTTAGTTACAATTTAGAAAGTCTTAAATTTATGTTAAACGCTCACAAAATGCCAGTCCCTCGATCTGCTCGATTTTATTTCTAATTTTTTGGCCGGAGCACTCATAAATTCGACGAAATGTATGTGTATTGTTTAATCATACCAAGCTAAACAGCTGAATTGCCCCAACTATTGTAATTAAAATAATTTTTTGATAGTGTGTGCATTTTCACTAGAAAATATACCGAAAATGGGAACATTAGTAGTGAAATTAAACGGAAACCATATTTTTCGCAAATTCACCACTAAGGAATCGGACAGGAACTTGTCTAAGGGGTTGTCGTTTAAGCGACTTTGGGCACTTCCATAGAGAGTAGTTCGTGTCAAATTTATAATCCATAAAAGATAATTTTTGCTCAAAAAATCCCTTAAAACGTTTCTTAGTTTCTCAGCTGCCTGGTACCATCTACTTCGGTCCTCAGGATCTTGAGAACGAATTGCTCTTCTTCGAAGGCGCCTTTTTTGTTTGTATAATTCTCTGGCTACCCTGGTGAGACCAATGCCATAACTACTCGGACGAGGATCAGGATCAGGTGAAGTTGAAGCAGTCGCAGCTCTATGTATATTGTCAGTGAGAATGTCTACTGCATTCTCGATGTCTTCTTTACGGTCAAGTACAGAATTTAATTTGAAGGAGCTCTCAAGATGTTGTTTAAAAGCCCTCAGATCATTACGAATTGAGATTAACCGAATACTTGGTCTTACATTAACGCCATTTGTTTGAAGATTAACAACAAATCCCAACTTTGGCAGATATTTATTCGAAAATCCAGTATCCCGTTATATAGTGCGAAGTCAATGCAAGTAGCCGTTTGGCCGTTTGTATGTGTCGCCCCACATCCAATGTCGAGCATTCCAATCGCCTTCAATCAGATACCTCTGACCACAAGACGCGATTATGTTAGTGAAATGCATTTCTTCTATTTTGTGTCTTGGAGGGCAGTATATTGGGCTTACTACCACATGTCCTAAGCCTGTGGCAACTTTGATAGCTGACATTTGAATAGTTTGTATTTTGATAATACTTTGTAGAAAATGATTGAGAGAGCTTCTCACCAATACCGCCACACCTCCGTTGCCGTGATTGTGCGTTCTTGCTTATATGCTGGATAGAAGGTGTAACCATATATTTTCACAACTTCCCCTCGATTGAGTCTTATCTCACTTAAGAGTAGGATATCAACGCTGTTGTTGTGTGCGAAGAGTTCAATTTCCCTGGCTTTACCTGAAATACCATTAACATTCCAGATAAGTAAGTGTGATCATTGTGAAGCTGAAGCGCTGCTGCGAAGCTGGAGAAATTATTTATCCCCATTCCATTGTTTGATCCAGTTGGCCATTTCAAAAACTATCTTTTCAACCCTTCCAAGTCGTTGACTGCTCACCTTGTTTTATTGTTGTTGTTCCTGCTGCTGCTGCTGAAGCCACAAAGAAATTGTTGCTGCTGCTGAATGGCTTAATGGCTTAATATTTATGAAGAATATTTTAAATTTTTTCATTCCGGCTAGACCTTGATTTTGGGTTATGTACCTGAAGAAAGATAAAGATTTTAAAATTGGCAAAAAATTCGCTAGCTAATGTGGTGCAATGAAGCCCCTTAACTACGATTCTGTGGAGCTTCTGTTCCTTCATTTGGTAAGTATGGAATTAAATTCCCATTTTATAAATGGTCAACAATAGTTCTGTAAATCTTAGAGTCTTTTGGAAAGATTCTAGTTGTTGTTCCTTGGTTAACTTTAACTACAACGTTATCCAAATTAGTAACCTCCGAAATTAGATCAAATAGATCATTAGGGTTGACAATACTTAAAACTATTTACAGTGGCTAAGAAGTCTCTTTAAGAGTACTTTTACTATTAGTATTAGAATTAATATGTTGATCTCATGTCCGCATCTTTTGTATTAATATAAGTTGTATTCATTTGGGCAGCTATAGAAGAGCTAGGTCTATTCTCAACAAAACTGTTTAAATATACTTTCATGTCGAGTAAAGCAAACCTGTTGGAGGAGCTTGCCTTACTGGTTAAAACTGAGGGTGATCCAGACGTCGGTTCTTTGAACACCTTTTTTGAGTTGATAATGGATGATAGTGGTTTCTTTCTCTTGTTAATTTGCTTTTGTCCAACCTTCAACTTGAAAGCAGCATTGGTAAGTTGAGGAGGTGTCTTTGTAGTAGATCCACCAAGAATTGATGAGTCAACTGCAGCAGGTGCACTGAATAAAGTAGAATTAATCCTGGAAAAGCACACACTGCTGATTGCACCAGTTGTCGCAGTTGCAGTGGAAAATATTGGATTACAAGTAGCACTAGTAAATTTTAGCGTTGTGGTTACGGCAGTGATATTCTGAGTTCAGAGCACGGTGAACGTCGCGCACTGCTGAATTCTGCTGTGATCTCTGAGGGTGTTTTTCCAGAAACTTGGTGCATTTTTCCAAATTCAATCTTCTTATTGCTAAGCAGGGAGTTCGTAAAATGATTTCAATCCATGGTTAGTTCACCTTCTGTGCCGTTGCACGCAGTGTTAGGGGTAAGGTGATGCCCAAACGCTAAAGACTGCAGACTTGTCGCACTACAGTTATGTTTTTGTTGTTGTACTGCTGCCGACGCTGCACGAGACATCGTTCAAAATTTGCGGACGAAGAGTGCACCAAAACAAAACAAAAAACACTAAACAGTTATTGTAAATATACTCCTAAACAGACGCACTTATCAAGGCCGACGCTAAAATAAATGATTAAATTTTTCAATATCGAGCAGAGTGTCATCATCGTCGACAAATGTTTCGAAAAGATTTATCAAATTTTTAAATTCGGAGTGCTTTTTGCTGAAGGTTGGAAGAGCAACGCTTGGCAAACATTGGGAAGTGTGCTTCACCGGCGGAGCAATACCATCGGCACTAATACGTCTACCTTGCTTATTAGCGAAATTAGTAATGATTTTGCCATTACGGCAATTTCTTCCAGTTCTTCGCGGAACAAATCCTCTGCGTCTTTTGCTTCGATTTGATTCTGAATCAAAGAAGCATTTTCAATGTGCGAATTCAAAATTTCTAATCGACATTCTAATTCGACTGGATTTAGAGATAGTCGACCCTCTTGTAAAGTCTGCTGTGTTCGGGATATACTCCGCATTAGTCCATCTCGTTTATTTTTAAGCTCTTCGATATCTTTGCTCGCCATGTTATTGGTTATTGAAATTTTTTAAGAACCAAAGGGTGCGATAAAAAATTTATTTTAATTCGAAATAAATAGCAAATAAAATAAAAAATAAAAAATAAACGAGTGGTATATTTCTAGCGTAGGCAAGCAGGGAACTTGTCGATGAAGTTTTGGAACAAACAAAATAAAATGAATATTTTATTTGTTAATTTCTTCGCCACTAATACGCCGCCACTCACAAAATTTAAAGAGTAGCACAAGCTCAGCCAAAATACCGAGGACGTTGCGAAAAACAACAACAACGCTTGCACTTGTCGAACGACCGAAGCGAAATGCAAAGAGAGGTCGAAAGAACTGGCAGCGATATCAGTGCGAGAGTGTGTATGTGTGGTTTTCGGCCGGTGGTTCTCTACTTAATATGTAACAACACTTAGATGAAAATGATGCACTGGCCGATAAATAAAAGACGACGAATATATAAGCGGGATGCAATCCCAATAAAATAGCGTTGAGGCTTGGAAAATGGCGGACACGCGGCAAGTTTAGGACAGAAAATGTGCGCGAAAATGTCCCGCAATTTTCTTCGAGCAACAAGTTACAGAAAAAAAACGAAAACGAAATAAATCAATTTTTCCTGTCTTGATATTGATTCCTAAGCTGGTGCTCACTACGATATGTTGGTGAATTAAAAGACAATATGGGTTCACGACGAAATTACTTTTTTATTTTAATATTTAGTGGCATGTACATATAATAAATAAATAAATAATTTGTTAGTGCATGCGAATTTTATTGGTGTTATGGTATTGGTATTTCCTGGTATTTCCTCTTATTGATAACACTATTCAAAGCCCCTGTGTCAACCACTCTCCTTGCCCTCTTCGATCTCATTCTTACCTCTGCGTTTATTTGGAATCTATCGCAGCTCATCCAATCCCCTACCGCTGGTCTTTGCGCTTGTTCCTGAGGTGCTAGCGTTACCTGCTCAGATCTCCTGCGTTTGCCGACCGGGCTCTGCAACACTCCGTTGTCCTCACTGCGTTCCTACCGCACACCCAGCAGAACAGCCTGAACTGGTTCTGATCTCTGTGGTTGTGGCTGTGGGTCCCTTCTTCTGCCGGATGGATTTGTTTTTCTGACATCGCGATCTCTTCGACCTTCTCCACCAGACAGGAAGAAATCTAGCAGCTCATTCCAGGATCTAGTTCAGCTCGGAGTTGTATTCCACCAGTCCAGCATTTACCGTACTAATGCATCCTTGTTTATGCCGTATCCCGTGGTCCATTCCTCAATATTACTTAGGAACTTCAATGGGTTGGAGGTTCCTTGGTGGCGTATCACCCAGCTCCTCACTCTATCCAGAGTGTCTACCTCTACTCTCTTTTTATCACTCTGCATCACTGCTCTTGTGATCATTACCTCCTTGCTGTGTTTCTCCTCCTGTCGTTGATCTGGACTCCTCCACCCGTCATTTGCATTTTCATGCATTTGTTCGATAATTGAACTAGTCTTGATTTGATGTCTTTAGCGTGCTCTTTACCCTTCGTGTATACTGCCAGTCTGTGCCTCAATTCTTTTGAAGCTCCGCTTGAATCCACCCCGAAGTCGCTTGCGTGTTCCACCAAGTAAGCTTTTGATGCTATGTATCGACATTACTCTCTCAGTGTTCTTTTTTTGTGGATCTGCCAGTTAAGAGGTAAGTAGAGATGCGTGGATCTGCCCGTTAAGCAATGAGAAAAGATCCAGGGATCTATTAAGTGCGCTATGGCTATATTGGGAGTGTATAGAGGCCCTGTAAGTCTACTAAACGACAGAGTGCACAGAGTGTATAGAGGCCCCTTAGGTCCGTAGGTCTACTACGTGAGAGAGTGTATCGGACCTACCTACGGACCTACGGATCTGTCTGCAACTTGAGAGTGCTCATAGCGACGTTTTATGACAGCTAGCTCTAGGCTAAGTCGTGCCAAAAAGACGATTGCTGTCCTCAGATAAGTTGCTCACAACACGCGTAAGGTGATCTTACCTGATCACGGATAACCCTTTTTTCAGCGGGCATAAACCTACGTACGGTGATCTTCCTCCCGCGTCCGAAGATAGATCAGCCTCTATGCCTTCTCCCCCTCGACTGCCAAAGGCTCTGCTGTTGTACAATGCAATTGCTATTCCAGATAAATTGCTGTTCAAAAATATCTTAACTGCAGTTGTTTATAACTTAAATACTCTTATTATGCGCCAATAAGGCGTCTTTACCTTCATAATAAGTCGTCTCAACGCCGCCACAAATGTTTCTGTAGATAGGTTGGTGCCGAGTTCTGGATGGATCGCCGAAATAGCCGTACATACGAATAGGCATATGTAGCTTCGCGTTCTTTGCCAATAGATCTGGCTTACGTTAATGCATTGTGCGTTGTCTCTGTCGAAAGCACGCCAAAAAATTGTGCGTGACTTTGCTTATTGAATTCAGTGCGTCGAATACCCAGTATCTTTGCCGGAAGATAACGAAGAGAGGTGAGACTACAGGATGAAGGTTGACTCGGTGTTCATGTTCTACGATCATGTTCGATGAGCCCTTTTATGCAACATTTGACTTTTGCGATCGTAAACGAAAAGGCAAGGGGAGCTTAAAAGAACTGGCAGCGTTCGTGGCGAGAGTACGTATTTATTCGTCTGGGGACTCTCTTTTTAATATATCACGACATTTAACTGAAAATCATGCACTGGCCGATATCTAAAGGCAACGAATATATTAGCGGGATGCAAAGTCCCAGGAAAAAAGTGTAACGACTTGGGAACATAGCGGATAAGCGCGGCTAATTCGGAAAGGAAAATGCAATCAAAAATGTCCAGAAACTTTTCGATACACTATAGAAATCACCTTTCCCTGCATTGAATTTAAATACCAAAGCCCCGCAAGCTCATACCTCATACGCTCCTCTCTTTTGATTTGCGGTCTCTCAGCGAGCTCATCGATCACAAAATTTACTTGAGAACCAGAGTCAATGATTCTATTCTATACAGTCGTATGTAAAAATTTTTTAATCGTGTGACCCTTGCGAAGGCAGATTTAGGGATGCGAAAGAAGATCGTCCTTGTCAGCGAACCAAAAACACTTATCTTCTTCGGAAAAGTATTGCTTGGCTGAACTTCTTTTGGCTTGGAAGCCTCTTCGGCGACCATGAGCTGGGGAAGCGAAACATAGTCCAACTGTTCTTCTCACTTTCTCTTAGTTCCTGCATCGACTGTGCTTATTATTAAGAAATAAGGATGGCATTCCTAACGTTTGTCATCCCAAATATACAACAGGATTCACAGAGGGCAGTAATTGTGTTGATCAAGTTTCTAAAGTCTGTAGCTGATCATCGACGTTCATACAGCTGCTTTTATTTATTAGCGAAATCAGCTATGTTTTGATGAAAATACGTAATATACTCGACGATACTGAAAAGAAAATTCAAAGGTGACGAAGTTCTCATTCCGAGAATCCCAACCGATTTGCCGTTTGAATTTAAATGACATCAGCTCCGATCTTTCTTGCATTTGCTAAGAACATCAACAAATCACAAGCCCAATCCTTGAAAGCTTGTGGTTGGAATATAAAACATCCACTTTTTGCTCATGGTCAATTATATGTGAAATTTTCACTGGTCGGAAGACCATCTGTTTTGCTTTAACGCCTGAGAAGGCAGTGCAGCTCCGATCAACTAAGAATAAATTACACTTTTTTACGCCATAATCCTATGGTGCGTCTTCCCCAAAACAACAATTTCTATGTAGTTTAATACCTTACAATATTTGGATAGAACTAATAATTTATTATTTAATACACCTTTAATATAAGACTTTTTTTTTTAATGGCTTGAGCTCTAACTACTTTTAACTTTCTTATGTCTGATACCACGAAAATATTGTTTTTTGGAAGATTTTAGGTAGAAGAAGAAGGAAGACAGCTTAATACTTTACAATATTTGGATATAATTAATATTATATTGTTTAATACACCTTTGGTTGAGCAACTAAGAGTTTTTAATTGCTTTAGAGTAAATATATCGGGTCAGCTCAATTTCCAAATTTTTATTACGAGTTCAAATCAAAACCAAATTAACTCCGCAACAAACCCACGCCGAATGCAAGAAGTACAGCTAAACAACAAAAGCTTCTAGCTACAGCAGTTGTACAAAGCTCCACAAAACGTATGCGTATAATCAAAACAAACATAGAAACTGCTGATAAGCCCGCCGGTGCTCATCCTTCTTTGTCTTTGGCTGCTTGGCCCAACAACTTTAATTACAAGATTTTTATTGTTGATTGGTTTGAGTTCTAACTACTTTTAACTTCCCTACGACAGAAACTGGGAAAATATTGTTTCTTGGAAGATATTATTTATTTAAGTTAAGATTTGTATAATAATTGAATAATAATAATTTATTATGTTAAATATAGTATAGCATATGGTATATGTTTAATTGTTTTTTTGAAACTATAGTAAATTATTTGTACTCTGTAGTCGATCGCCGCGACTATAAGATACTCGCTACTGTCTTATCCAATATAAAAATATATCTTTTTTAATTGAGTTATAATTTCTTACAACAATTGACTTATTTTTTCACAACATTATTTCCAATATCTCATAATGTATTTTAGGTGCACACAATTACCTTTTTTTTGTGATATAACAGTAAATACATTTATTAAGCGTCTATCAGCCAACTTAATGGCTATAATACATTGGGAACAACAACGAACAAATAACATAAATACATAGCAGGAAGGAATTAACAAATTTTTTGTTATAACTATTTAACTAGAGATCAATGCTAAATACTAATACTATTAATACTAATGCTAGACTACTGCTTTAGGACTCAAGGAATTTGGCGTCCTCTTGTCCAGAGATCGGCTGGATGCCATCGCTTTAGACGTCTTCTGATAGTTGTATTAGCTAGCGAAGAAGCTTAGTGGTTGGTGTGTGCTGTGAGACGATCATTGTACCGACTCGAGTACCTCTTTATCAGTTCCCTAATAGAGGGAATCTTCGAGGGCTTTGTTTCTAACGTACCAAGGCGCTTTTGCAATCATGCGCAACGCCCGGTTTTGAACCATTTGTACTTTCATGAGTCAGAAGCCAAGCTCCATAGTTGGAACACAATTACCAAATTGATACCGAAGAAAATAGAATTGTAGCGTATTTTAAAACTAAAACATGACAGCAATAATAAATTTAAAGACTCATAACAAAAAGTTGAAGATACAACTCTTCTAAAATTTAAGTCATTCTTAATGCACCAAATAGAAATTTAGATAGTTTACATATTTACATTTTTTACATATTTTTGAATATCAATATTAAATAATATAAAAAGAATTTGTCTTAAGAAAATAATTAAGAAACGGTCAAACCTTTATATTCGATTATACGTGTAACAGAAAAATAAATATTACGAGCGGCAGAGAGCGCAGGTAGCTAATTTCGGACTTAAAAAAACCAATCGTAGCCTTTAAATTAAAAAGCATTTTAGGGCATTAACCCTAAGCCTTATAACGTGCTTGTAGCAGAATTGGTACATATCTTTATTTTCTGAGAGCATCATTATTTTGAAACGGGAAGCGGGTCATAAGTTTAAGGTGTGTGATATTAAAATTCCTTGGATTTAAATGCTAAGTATATTTTTATTGTTCTTTTGCTTTTCCCAATACTTCATAGAGTAAATTTGAATTATAATTTATTTAATAATTACCGATAACTACTCCAATTGACAATAGAAGAATAAATGGTCGTCGACGTCCAATATTCAGCTTGCAGCGATCAGATAAAGAACCCATAACTGGACATAGAAAAAATCCAACTAAAGGAGACAACGCCCACACCAACGTCATATGCTGATGCTCAACTCCAATTTTCAAAAGTGTGGGAGAGACAAACGCTGTTTCGGCTGCGTATGAAAATTCGATACCCATGACAGCAGCAGAAACTCGAATTAATTCCGTTCTTGTCTTCGCTCTGTAAAATTCAACATATTTATTTTTTATTATCTAATTTTAAACACATTCTTTTAAGTTTAAAGTTAAAGCATAAGTAAATAATTAGGAAAAAATTGTTTCCAAGTATATTCAATTATTTAAAGCATTAGAAAAAACATAATTTTAACTATAATTTCAGTCCGAAGTGTGGAATACATCTATCGGTTCCTGTCTTCTGGTTTTCTTTGATATGAATTTGAAGCATAATAAACTGTGGGCCTTAGGATGCTGATATCCTTGTACTTTAAAAAAGTGTAAAGCTGCCTGATCTAAAATTAATACACTAAAAATAACCACAACGACGCCCACGTTTTTTCCGAACAAATATATAAAAAAACAAGAGGAAACGCTATAGTCGAGTTCCGCGACTGTTTTTTACACAATTTTAAAATATTTATTTTGCTAGTGAAAATTCAGAATGCGCCACTTATTGTCAGAGAAAGTATGTTGAGTAACTGTATGTGACGTCACAAACCATGTGAGGCTTTAAAAGCTAAATTTCTTCATAAATACCGAAATAATGTTCCGATTGAAAAAACCTTTGGTAAATCAATAGATATTAACAGAAATACGTTATACAGATTCAAACGAATATTATTCATAATAATATTATAGACGCCAAAGTTTTCCGCGGTTTTTGGGAGTTAGAGTGGGCGTGGCCTGATAAAAACTCATGTCAAATAGCAGTGGCATCTCTTTAATACGTATTCTTAAGCACAACTTTAAAACTGCTATAGTTTCCGAGATATTTGCATTTTTGGGTTTTCAGGTTTTGTGGGCGTTGGAATGAACGTGGCTTGATCGGAAAAAATTAATTCGCATTGGGAGCTTAATCTAAACATTCTATCACTTATAGTTACCCAGATGTCAGCTTTATTTCCAATATTTCATAATGTATTTTAGGTGCACACAATTACCTTTTTTTTGTGATATAACAGTAAATACATTTATTAAGCGTCTATCAGCCAACTTAATGGCTATAATACATTGAGAACAACAACGAACAAATAACATAAATACATAGCAGGAAGGAATTAACAAATTTTTTTTATAAATATTTAACTAGAGATCAATGCTAAATACTAATACTATTAATACTAATGCTAGACTACTGCTTTAGGACTCAAGGAATTTGGCGTCCTCTTGTCCAGAGATCGGCTGGATGCGATCGCTTTAGACGTCTTCTGATAGTTGTATTAGCTAGCGAAGAAGCTTAGTGGTTGGTGTGTGCTGTGAGACGATCGTTGTACCGACTCGAGTACCTGTTTATCTGTTCCCTAATAGAGGGAATCAAAAAAACCTACATGCTTAATCTAAACATTCTATCACTTATAGTTACCCAGATGTCAGCTTTTCTAGAAAATGCGAAAACCGTCTCTTGAGTTTGGTGGGCGTATGGGTGGGTGTGGCCACTATAAGATCCGCTAACATCTAAAGATTATAAGAATCTTCAATCTGAATTTGAAGAATCTTCATTCATCTTCATCTTCTTCTTCAATCTGAATTTAGGCACTACCTGATTAATCCTTATTTTATATCACTTATATCTACCGAGGGTGTAGAATGGGCGTGGCCAGATAATGGTTTCACCATAAGATGGCCTGACATCTCAAGATCATATCAGACCAGATGGTGCAGGGTTAGGCCAGATCCTTGAGGTTGTCTCAATTTGAATCTATAATTCAAGAGCACCATGATCTTCGTAAAATAAGAGCAGTCCTACCGAACCCTTAATTAAGAAAATTTAATTGCAGATATGCAGAAACACACGGCGTTCTAGCGGATACTTTTCCGGACCAACGTGGAAGACATTCGATATTTCCAATTAAAGACCGTGACTTTTGGAGTCAACTGTGCTCCGTTTCTAGCGATTAGAGTGCTGGAACAACTCGCGAAAGACGTAAGGCTCAGCCACCTGCGAGCGATTAGCGTCATTCGTAATTGTATGTATGTGGATAATGTCCTCGCTTGGCAACTTCCGCCTGGATGTCGACGTGCTGCTGAGAGAATTTCCAATACAAATCACTTCTGATTTCGCTATAATTTAGCTCCTCAATTCCTCCTGAAGCGTGGCGAATCGGTCACGCAGACGCTTCTCCATTGACTCAAGAGTCATAATGGTTGAGTCCTCGGTCCGCATAGCAGCCTAGACCTTCTGATGCAGGAACTCCATTTCTCGACAGGTAACTTCTGCTCGTCTCCGCAGCATCCTCTCCCTGTTTGCAGTAGCATTAGGTAATTAATGTAAGTGTACGGTTATTACAACAAAAACAACAAGTTTCCGTGACACTTTTAAACTGATCACAATATTCAAAATGCGCTGCGATCACGTCGGGGTTACCAAAATGTTGAGCCGATGGGCATCTACAGGTGCCAATCAAATCTAAATCTATCTAAAAGTCAAAGGAACATTTTTATAAATGCGCGACGGATATCCCTATCCTTTAAAGCACGTCCGCAATTACACGTGCGAGACGAACAATTAGTAATAAAGTATTGGATCTATAGCAAAATCATCTAAAGCCCTTTAGCCCGATCTTTTTTTGTCTTCGACTACCAGAAACAAATATACAAAATATATAAGACTTTTGGAGTCAACTGTGCTCCATTCCTAGCGATTAAAGTGCTGGAACAACTCGCGCAAGACGTAAGGCTCAGCCACCTGCGAGCGATTAGCGTCATTCGCAATTGTATGTATGTGTATAATGTCCTCGCGAGTGCGGATTTTAATTCCACCCGGTAAGTGATATTTCTATAACAAAATACCATGTCCTATCCCAAATCTCCAAACTATTTGATCCAGCAGGCTGGCTCGCTTCGTTGTGAGTGCACAGATCTTTATGCAACAAAACTGTGCCGGGTGTGGAGTTATTCTGTCCTAGATTAGATTCGGATTCCAAGGTGGGTCTCCTTCTATCCAGAATTCGGGCTTCCGCCTTCTGTGTCTGGAAAAAGTTGGATTTTGCAAGCACAGTAACCAAAATCTTTCGGCAAAATCTTCCATAAATTGGATGGACAAATATTCAATTTCTGTGCACGATGGCGGATGGACTAATTCGGGTTTTCCTCCTCTACAGTAGCAATAGCTCTGGGGATGCAAGTTATCAATAAGAGTCAACATGGACCGAAAACGTTCCATGGTTAATCGAATTAACTGCTCTGGTGGACGATTTTGTCGACGGTAATAAATACTCCGCATAGAACCATTATTTTCGAAAAAAAATTGAACCATCGGCAAGCATCGTTCAGGCGAAAGTCTATTAATGATGAATTTCCAAACCTAACTAAGAATATATTATTTAACAACTGTTAAGTCGGTCGCTATGTTGAACAGTAATGTCAACTTAAAGTTCTATACCTCTTAAAAAACACAGCGCATATAAAGCTGGTACCATTATAGGCCACTATCCTAATCTTACACCCACCAAGCTCTAAGGACGGTTTTAGCTTTTTGCAGAGCCTGATATCTCAGTAACTATAAGTGACCCCCAATGCGTATTGATTTCTAAACATCTGGCCACGCCCACTCTTACGCGCAAGAAACGCGGATACCCAAAAATGCGAAAATCTTTAACCGAAAGAGCTAGTTTAGGCAAAGAAGCTTGTTATACCCGTTACTCGTAGAGTAAAAGGGTATACTAGATTCGTTGAAAAGTATGTAACAGATAGAAGGAAGCTTTTGCGACCCTATAAAGTATATATATTCTTGATCAGGATCAATAGCGAAGTCGATTGAGCCATGTCCGTCTGTCCGTCCGTCCGTCCGTCCGTCCGTCCGTCCGTCCGTCCGTCCGTCCGTCCGTCCGTCCGTCCGTCCGTCCGTCCGTCCGTCCGTCCGTATGAACGCTGAGATCTCAGGAACTATAGCAGATACAAAGCTGAGATTAAGTATGAAGATTCTTGAGGTCCCGGGACAGCGCAAGTTTATTACAGCATCCTGCCACGCCCACTCTAACGCCCACAAATCGCAAAAAACTAAAATTGCTGAAATCTCAGGAACTATTGCAGATAGAAAGTTGAAATTCAGAGAGTATAATCTTTAGATGACAGCGCATCTTATAGTGCTGCTATCTGGCCACACCCACCCATACGCCCACAAGGCTCAAAAGACGGTTTTCGGATTTTCTAGAAAAGCTGATATCTCGGTAACTATAAGAGATAGAAAGTTCGGATCCAGCATGTAGGTTTCTATGATGCTCCCAATGGGAATTGTTTTTTTCCGATCACGCCACGCCCACTCTAACGCCCACAAAACCCGAAAAACCAAAAATGCAAATATCTCGAAAACTATAAAAGCTACACAATTTTGCTTAGGAACACGTATTTAGGAGATGCCTCTGGAACTTGCCACGAAGTTGCATCTGGCCACGCCCACTCTAACGCCCACAAACCGCGGAAAACTGTGGAGTCTATAATATTATTATGAATGCCTTCGTTTGACCTTGTGTAACTTATTTCTGTTAATATCTATCGATTTACAAAAGATTTTTCAAATCGGAACATTATTTCGCTATTTATAAAGAAATTAAGTTATAAGGCCTCACATGGGCAGTGACGTCACTATAAGCATACTCAACATACTTTCTCTGACAATAGGTGGCGCCTTGTGAATTTCCACTAGCAAAATTAATATTTTAAAATTGTGTAAAACAGTAACGGGTATCTTATAGTCGCGGCACTCGACTATTGCGTTTCCTCTTGTTTTTATTCTCTTGGAATGAAAACTAAAGCATAGACATTTCTCGAGTCGACATTTTTTATCACCAAAACTTCTTTGTATTTATAAAGATCTTTTCGTCTTGAGTTTGTTCGTACCTTATCCCATTCTTGCAACTTTTCAATTGTTTTACTGGTTTTCGCTCTAATTTTTTCTGAACTTACTTCCTTAATGTTTTGGGTTAACTCTTGTAATCTTTCTCTTAAACTATTCATGTCGGTGCTTTTCTGATCTCCGAATAACACTTGGATGTTGATTGATTG